TTTGTCGTTGTTATTGATTCAACCGAAACAAGGACATTAAAGGGAATACATTTTCGTGTTTGTTACCAGCTTATCATCCACTGACAGTTCATCTTTATTACCACTCAGATGGTTAACCACCTGCAAACCCCATCAACCAGCTTATGAACAGTAATCAATAGTTAACGATCTCAAGGCCGGATTTGTCAATCTCTGTGCCACTTCGTTTATTGCAGACGGACAGATATTTTAAAGTCTCACCTCATGTAAAAGTACAGATATATACACACATATACATAAAAGGGTTATGAGAGACTATTACATGGAAGTGACATATATGATAAAAGTAACAATATGAAATTAGCCGTATAAAAGATGTTTTTCTTCTTTGAAGTATATAAAAGCAGGTTTTGACTGTAAAATAAACATGTTCTTTAAATAGTAAAATCATTTTTTCATTATCACATAAATCTAGGAAGTTGGGATAGCTGAAACACATATGGCCATATAAACTTTCACGTAGATCATCGTACAGCGGACATTCCAACAGTACATGACGTTCATCCTCAATCTTATCACTGCATTGAAAACACACCCTTTCCTCTACATTCATATCTGAATATCTGCCTGTTCCAACTTTAGAGGTGCAGTACCGGATCTAAACTTGGAAAGGGCAGATCGATAGGAGCGCGGCATTTGCATACTTACATAGCTTTCGCAACCATACACACTTTTAAACATTCTATACGTCCGCAACTTATTGCTACCCGCTCTGCCTTCTTGTTTATACAATGCTACATACCATTCAGACATATACTTCCCGATACAAGTTATTTGTACCCGTTTACATACATTCTTCATACTCACACCCTCTTCCATATTCAGGCCCGATTCTTTAAGTTTGGCTTTCACACGGTAGTTCCAATTTTTTACACGTCCACCCGCGCACTCATCCGACCATATAAAAACATATTTATTAATCTACATTGCATTTCGTTAAAGCGGCAGTATTGCCTAATAATACATACCCACTGTCTGACAAACGGAGGAATCCAGCCCATGTCTCCATTAACCGCAACGTTTGGAGCGTATTTACCCACCCCTTAAAAAACCCTGAAAGCACGATGGTGGACGGCATTTACACATGAAATATCTCGATGACCCCAAATGGAAGCCCCATAACTCAGAACCGACCATACCATCGTGTTGTACAGTTTTGTATAAGTACTATACCTCCGACTGCCTTATATTTGCAAATAAGAAGTCCTAATGCTCTACTAGCAGACTTAGCCACTGCCTTCGCCATAGCGTAATAATCTAAATGTTCAGTGAGCAATAGGCCCAAATAACAATCCACAACATCTAAAAAGGAACACCCAACATTAAAAACAGCACACGTTCTGTTGACACTTACGTTCCTAAAATATACAAATTTTAGATTTTTCATTATTGATACAAATGCCATTATCTATACACCAGACATTAAAAACCTCTAATGGACTGTTCAGATCATCTGTAGAATCTGCAAGTAAAACTAAATGATCAGCATACGCTAAAGCTGCAATCACTGTGTCCTTGACATGAATACCAATGATCTTCCATGTAATCTTATTCATTGATTTCATTCATGCACTTGTTCCTTCCTCATCAAAGGAAACAACTCTACGTTTTCCTACTTTATGCGCGATTAGGGAAAGTAATATAACAGTTTTAGTAGTGATTTCTGCCTGGTGTGTAATGTGAGTAAGTTAGAATATATTTACTTTACTCTCGTAATGTTTCAAACACGAATGGAACCGTACATTTAAATGTTCTGTTTCCATCTGGAATGTAATGGGAGGAAATAAAACTTACATCTACTTTACTGTTGTATTGTGCCAACTGCGAATGAATCACCTTAAGGGTTAAGCTTTTCAAAAGGAATGCGTCTAACGTTCCACAACATAATTGTGTTGTTACATAAAACTGTGATGATTTTGCAAAGGATCCTCTATGAATGCTGTACAGGATAATAACTATATGCTGGGCAATAAAATTCCAGAGCAGTATTGTATAGACAACTCTTTTATCCGTATTTAATTTTACATTTTTACCTCAGTTAGTTGAAGTCCAACTTCTGGTCAGACGTTAATGTCCAGTATTTGGTGGAAACATCATCTTTTTTGCCATAAGTCGTTGGTAAATGAAGGTAGACTTTCGTCATGGAAATACCGCTTTCCCTTGGGCCGTTTTGGCGTGAATCATTAGAAGAAAAATGCATTTGGATTTTAGAACTGTTTCAATTAAAGATTGGCTTCAGAGAGGGATGGGGTTTTTTAAATGAAGTTTGTTTCCCTTTACTTCTAACGTTTCAGTGAATGCCAGAATCTCAGAGTCAGCGTGCGCCCATCACTGAGCACAGTTTTATTCAGCTGAAGTAAAAAAGAAAGGTTTGGGCCATATTATTCTTTTGTTTTGGGTGTGACAACACGTTATAATGTCATGATGTAGCAATCCACTGGCACTAAGCAAGCATATGTCAGAACGTTAATAAATTTTTGAACATGAAATGTCATCTGTGATTTGAACCAAAAGAAGAATATGTGTAGTCATATTCTTATATGTCCAAACATATATGAGAGCACTGGAAATGACGACATCATTTATTTTGTACGTACTTTCTGTATGAAATGCACAACGTTGTTTCTGAAAAGGAAGTAGTCCATCATGTCCACGTTAGCTACATTTCTCAAGTTAAAAGTGGTTGTTTTGGCGACACCGGTTTCTCAATCTTCGCATCAAGAAACAGGAAATGAAAGTCTTTGTGTGAGAGGAAAACGATTTTATCATTTAACTGGTAACAAATGAGTCTCGAGTAATGAAACCTGCATGTTATGTCATTGATTTTAACGTGTGATCATCAGAATATTCCAGGGCTAAACTTTCCTGTGGAATATTGAAGGTCAGCATAACCTTCTGCAAGAGCTCCCAAATAACACCCCATTCAATATAGTGTCAGCAGGACGAGAATGGGATGTCTAAAGGTTTTAATTAAATACCGGATTTAGCACGCTGTTTGAATAATTTATTGAATGAATGTGGACACAGTCCCGCAAATAAGGACTATTTGGGTTTTATAGTGGCGTGATTATTTGATTGAGTGTTAGAAAGTTGTCAGCAGGAAAAGAAAAGTTGACATCAAATATTATTTTCATGTCCTTGTCCAAATGAACATAAATAAGATTATTTTTGAAGTACTTGAGAAAGAACATGCCATAGATCTCACAGATAAATAGTTAAATAGAGATTTCTGTCGTAAAATGATAACACAAAAACGAGGAAAGTTTACATCATGAAAGTTGCATGTAATGTGAAGGTAAAATAATCCGATTGATAAAAGTGGTTCTGGTCGATGTCTGATGACTATGCACATGGGTTTCTTTTCCTTTTATTATTTACAAGCCAACATGGCGTCGCCTCCGAGTATAGTTGTTATTTGACGCCGCACTTAACAATAATCCGGCTGTATTAGGACCAAACAAGACAGTGATCAACAGCATGAGCATCGATCTACGCAACTAGGATACGATAACATGTGTCAACCAAGTCAGCAAGTCTGACCACTAAATCCTGCTAGTCGCCTTTTACGACAAGCATGGCTTGCTGAAGACCAAATCTAACCTGGACCTTCATGGGTAGCAGCATTTGTAACCTCCAACGACACGTCAGGTATGGCAGTGACGAACGATTAAGAACTGACCGTATCATAGGTGGTAAATAAACTGTTGTGACAGCATCATTTAACTAACTGAGGTCTTTTTAAGAGTGATAAGTTTCAAGATGCAAGTTGCGAAACATTTTGGCAAGGACTGTAGGCTTGTAGGTCTCTGTGTGTCAACCAATATTTACACAAGACTTATTAAGACTTATGAATCTCCCAATTGACAGACACCCAATTGAGAGACACTGAACGAGAAGATTAATTAGGGTAACACCTACGGGTATAATAGAACAGTCCACTGTCTAGTAAGTAGAGCAGGTGAGCCTGAAACAGGTTCGTTAATGAGAAGTTTGATTGTGTGTAAATAGAACTTTGCTGTGATTAAATGATAATGATTTCCCTTCTCAAAATTGATTTTACTATCAATTACTATCGAATATAAAAACAGGTTTGTCATTGAGAGGTTTGATTGTGTTTATTGATAGAAAAGCCCCTCCCAATAATAGCATATGTACAACAGAAGTTAACTGAGAAAACGTTTTGTTGGAGAGATATAGATATGAACATATTTGAAAACATTCTAATTTGCAGTAAATGATACACTTGCATTGCCATGTAAGATACGATTAATACCAATCAGTGTTCTAATTTTAACAATACTTTCTAAAGATTGTAACAGTTTATGTCTTTGAGTAGTATACAATGGACATTCAAGGAAGTAATGAAAAACATTCTCACATCCATGGCCACATTGACATGATGCGTCATATTTTATATATTTATTCTAAATAAATCGTAATTGCACTCGTCATATATCTTAATATTGTGTGCAAAACATATAACTTCTTTATTCCATATGAATAATATTTAGGTTCACATTTGTCTTTATTTGATTTATATGATACAACAGTGTCGCAATTTCTAATATCTAAGCTAATGTTTTCAGTATGATGATGCCGACTCTCGTTAGACTAGAAGGTTAAACCGAAATGTTTATAAAAATAAACTGTTTTTATATTGCAGCAATAAAAATTCAAATTACTGTCTTTTCGTCCATCTTTCAAAATATATCATATAGCTTCAGTTTGTTCAGTTTGGAATATTTGGACTATTCCATTTTAATGTGTAGGTAACATGTAGTAGATAATCTGTTCACTGAACTGTAAATGTTGTTTTAAGGTGTCTGCGATCTGGCTGTCTGCGTAATGGGAGGACACCACAAACTACGTTTGGATTCTTATCATGACAATGTAATGTGACCAGGCCCCGATTTCTCGAAACAAACTTAAGTCTGAGTTTTGACTTAAGTTAGAGTTTTGACTCAAATTTGAGAAAACGCAGGGAACTGCATTTCCCAGAATGAACTGAAATCGATATCAAACTCATACATAGTGGACAATTTGAGTTTTGATAGATGGATTACTTAAGGTGTTTGGGATTTTTTAATTAAAAAATGCAGTTGAGTTAAAAATTCAGCTGTTTCAAATTGTCAACCTCAGTTTGAAATTTGAGTAAAAACTTAAGTTTGTTTCGAGAAATCGGGGCCAGGCAAAGTGTAAAAAATGTGTTACGTCTTACAAACTGGTATTTTATGCAAGTTGTACTGTTGCGGGTTACTTGAAGGTAACACTTCCTCCCGTAGATATTTATGTTTTATAGAAAAGGCATTATATCACACTGAGGCTCCCATAGATACTAGAATGAAAATGGGTGTCAGTCTGGAACTTGCTTTAACTTTGTTAAATGTCTGATACCATAAATAATAATAATTGCATTTCCATGTTTATGATTCGTTGTTGCTTTCTTTACATGATGAAGTAATGGCTATGCCAATACATTTATGTTGTACATTAAATCTTTTGAAACTGTGGATTAAGTTTCCCGCGGTAAAAATCACACGAGCTTGGTATCAGACTTAGTGGTTAGAATTGGTCTTCTGTAACCCATGCTTGTCGTAAGATTCGACTAACGGGATGGGGTGGTCAGGCCCGCTGGCTTAGTTGACACATGTCATCGTATCCCAATTGCGTAGATGAATGCTCATGCTGTTGATCACTAGATTGTCTTGTCCAGACTCGATTATTTACAGACGGCCATATTGGTGAGTGCGGCGGTAAACACCAACCAACCAACCAACCAACCATTCCTACGGCAGGAAACCGAGTAACCAAGCCCAGATTTGCTCAGAATCCTAACAAGTTCTTTTCAAGATTACGATTTGTTGACGGTCTTCTGTGGGATACGATGACATGTGTCAACCAAGTCAGCGAGCCTGACCACCCGATCCCGTTAGTCGCCTCTTACGACAAGCATAGTCGCCTTTTGTGGCAAGCATGGGTTGCTGAAGACCTATTCTACCCCGGATCTTCACGGGTCGTGCATGATAAGATGTCCATATAGTGTATGTGTCAAGTCACCAAGTACATGGTGAGCTTTTTATATCCAGTGTCCGGGGTAGGTGATACATCCCGTAAGGCTGTCCCGCCGATCGATTGGGATCGACCCTGACATGTCACCCGTGAAGTTGGACTCTTAACATCTGAGTGTCTAGGGATAGAGAAATGCCCTTTCTGTAAGCTGTCGAAAATGACCAACAGGGATCACACCACCATGTCCCATACCGTGTAAAGTACACAGGATAAAGTGTTAAAGTGTGGACATATCTACATGCAGGAGAAGGACTTCTAAACTATCACAAAGAGCTGAACTGACTTTAAATTCCACCTGTGGTGATATTAACATCGTCAATGATTGTGTCCAGTAAGCTATTAGTTTGTGCTTTCGTTGCATTTGTTTAAATATTCCATCTTATGTTCATCCTATAATCATATAAACTGTTGTGCGTTCCTTAAAAAGACAATGGTAATGTTGTGATATTATGAGTCTTGATGTGAGTGTATGGGAATGGTGAGGTATGTGTTTCGTGAGTAGGGGAAATAGAGTGAGTGTGTTTGATGATTGTGAGAATGAAGTTGTGAGTAATAGCATATATATTACCCATCAAAAGTTTAGACTCCCCTGAAACACTCACTATATGTTAATATGCATATATATATGGTTACTTCGAAGATGAATTTCTCCACTAACTTGGGGGAACCAACTGCAAACTTTATGCAGATGAATTGTACGAGGATCATGCATCAAATTGCTCGAAAGCATGTGCAAATATCGTTCATGTGAACAGTTGCGTTTTGGTGTAAAGTTTTGTTAAGAATACGCCAATTTTCACTGATTTTCATCATTTACTGAACTCATGACAATAATCTTTTCAACGTTACGAATTTGTTTTACAATACATTAGTTCATGTGTAAACAGTACCTTCAAACTGAATGGAATATTTGCAAAACCAAGTTTGGAACAGGTGACTGAATTAAGTGGCTACATTTACACTTAGTGAGTCTAAACTTTTGACGGGTAGTATATGAAATAGTGCAACCAAGGCAGATTGAGTGAATACCTCATGATATGAACTTTTAATTTGGGGTATGTGTTTACTCTAGTATGTGACAATGGGTTACATTAAAATGTTAATGTGATGTTAATCTTAAATTGGCCAACGATGCAAGTTTTTCAGAATTGTAACGCTCAAACAAACATACTTCCGATTGTGCAGCACTTCAGTGCAGTACTGGTCTGATCAGATTCGTCTCTTTAAATCTGGCCATGCATGTCAGTTAGCGTCAGATGCATGTTGCAAAGGGGATAGTTGCGTGACGTTTTTAAAAATGTACTGTCGCCACACATATTCTTCACGACAATGTGTTGCACAAAATCAAATTTTCACCGTACCCAACGGAATTCATGCGTATGGATTTATTTCAGTTTTCATTAGTTTCTATGCGCAAAGGGTTCACTACCTAGTAGAAAGAAGCGATCTTGCTTGACAGTGTTTGTTACAGCACGGCATGACATTGGCTATAGATGCTGCTTCGGAAAATCTTTCAAATTACACTGTCAAAAATTGTAAGTTAAGCTGTTGTTCAAAACACGCCGTAATTGAAGAAACCGACTTACGCCTTTACACAATCATAAAGTTGAGAATATATTACAGTAGAAACTAATTCGCATCAAATGAGCTCCAGGCTACTGTTTCTGGGAAACAGTGTGAAAGTTTAACCTATGATGCGTGTATGCGGATGAGTCATTGATTGAGTAAGCGAATGATTGGTTTACGTGTTAGTGACCTTTTTAAAGTGTTGCAGTTACATAAGACGTGTTTGTGTTCCTGTGTATGTTCAGAAGTGCCTGCTATAAACTATTACCCCCAGTTACGCGCAAGATGACTTCCTTAAAGCTTGTCGTTGACGAAAATTCTTCATATGCCAAAGAGTCATCGATAAACGACATGTGGTAAAAGGATATATTTAATTTAGGGACTTAATTTAGTTGTCTGTAATCGACATAGCATAACAGTCCCGATATGAATGAATCCCCATACGATGTTTTACCCATCAATATATTTGGTACTATGATTGCTCTTTGCCAAAGATCAGGAAATAATGAGCAAAGAGTTTCTCATAACATATAAGCAATTCATATGAAAGTTGATTAGTGTTTACATTCAGGTGGTTTCAGCTTGTCAGGTTGAAAGGACACTCCATTCGTTTACTTATGAAAAGGTTCCTTCAACCAGTACATAATAATTTAAAGACTTTACACTACCGTGATACTTTTATTGACGATGGTGTGTAAGTTACAGGTGACAATTGGTCCCTAATAGCAATCATTTGTCGTACGAGGCTCCGGTAGTCAAACTCTGGGAAGTTGTACATAATAACACATCACTGATTTTCGTTCGTCAAGATCTATTACGCAGTTGACATATATTGCAGTATATTCGTGTATTCTTCAACAACAACAATAAATATTGACCTGTCATCACCTCCCGCATGGCACAGGTTGAGAGTTGTAATGGTTGAGATCAACAAGATACACATGCAGATCCTTTCCCACAATGCATGAATCATGATTCACTGGATCGGCTTCTTGTAGCATCAAACAGGGCAAATCATGGCTAGCGGTAAGTATCTGTAGCCGACACACGAACTACCAAGAAAGATCATATTAGTTCCAGGTGGCTACGGATTAGTGTAGTTGTAACAATATCCCTTATCTGGTGATTTAACGCTCAGATCGTGGAATCGTAAACTTGAATCATCTTTCAGGATGAGGCTTATCAATCGACTTTTATTGAACATGCATCACGATATCAGGGACTATCGAAAACACAGTGTATGGACGCTCAAAAGGGAATAAAGAGTAACCATAATAAGCCATATATATTCATGCTCACCAATTACATTACATGCACAAGATACATTGGCGTCATGTATTGTGATCTAGGCAGCTTGATAAACATGATCGAGCAGGCAAATATTTGTTTATTATTATGTATCTATACGATATAAGCACTACTGGAGATTTTCCCATGCATTCTGCATGGGTTTCTTATCAGTATCTATTTCGGGGACATTTACAGGAATTAATCACGCTTTTGTGGTGTACGACCATATATCTCAGTTGATGTTCTGAAGTCCGTTAGATTAATTTCTAGGGCCAGTAACAGGCATGTTGAGTTGGTGTAGATGTTGAGGAACATTCGATGACACATCATTGAACCAGATTGTAGCATAGAATAACCAAACAGAAACATTCACTTCTTCGGGAACCAATACTCGGCACGATTCAATAACACATCGAAAACAGAGTCTTGCACAAACTGTCGCTACATCAGTCAACTGTAATAGCGAGCTAGTGCATATGCTTTTATGAAACAAATTGCCTCCTGCATTGGAACACAGCTCTTCACTGCATGACAGACACTGCTTTTGTAATCAGGTTAGCAACACATAACAATGGGGTACAAATCTCCCCAACAATGGAACCTACAAATAAATCGACTTTGTGATGGTTGTTTTTATCTGCAGAGTCTTCGTTTAATCATCCCGCTTTGATTTTTGCAACGTCCACAGAGAGACAACTATCAGTGAGTCTTCTTCAGGTGAGACGAGTTGAAGGTTGCAAAGCTTATATTGTGATGCCGGTGGTTTGACACTACACTTAGTTTGATTAAATATATAGTTTCTTTGTATTTACTTCTTTTGATCTTTTGAAGTTGACATTGATCTGGCTGTGGAAAGAGTTGCGTTTTTGTGCTTGTCTTTGCATGAGTGATCGTTGAACAGTGAGACATATATTATATCTGAATTGGTGTAGTATATGGGTGAAGCCAGCAAAGGCATTGATATAAACTATCGCATAGATAGTACACGCGTAAGAGAGATATTTAGTTTTGAACAGTAACATGTGGATAGTAACTTGAGGTTTGTTCCATACCTTCGTGTGCTTCGTAAACTCTGGTCACATCAAGGTCAGGGTGACATCTCTGACACTGACTATTTTTTAAACAATAAACCATGTCATTTTGTTGCTGTAGAATCATTTGCTGCTGTTACTTAGGGTTGACGTTGAAGAATTTCTAGGGTTTCAGGGTTACAGGATTTCCTCTCCGTAATGACCTTATGCTCGCTTTTTGCTAATGA